CATTACAAAAATGTTCGAAGACCCTAAATACAAACTTCGACTATTACAACATTTCGACCCTAACAAAAGGGGTTGATCAAAGTCTATGGATCTCAATATCTCATAAAGTCTCCAACTTTTGGGACAAAAACCCAAAAATACTATACTAAGATGCACAAATCAAAAGAGTGAGAAAGTTTGAAACTTTATACCTCTATATGAAGCTCCCAACATAGATATGCTCAGATCCAAGGGCCTGGACTCTCACTCCTTCTTCTCCAAAGCTTCTTCTTCACTCCAAGAACACACATAACACTCAAAGGCTCTCAAATGCACTCACAAGCTCCATGAACGAAGGTTTAGGGTTTAAGAGGGTTTGAAATCCGAGGATGGTGGCCAGGAATGAGGCCATCTCATTCTTTATATAGGGACACACCCAAAATTAGGGTTTTCACTTTGTACCTAGTATGCCCAACATACCAGGTGGTTCCGCTTAAAAATCACGCACATGAGTACGCTAAGTGTACACACACGTACGCCCATCGTACTCAGCTGCCACCTTTCTCAAATAAGGGATTATTCCTGCCAAAACTTCAAACTTCCATTGCTTCCTCGATATAACTTCATTTCCAATGAACCTCATATCCACGGAAAGGTGACGAGATGCCCTACGCTTCTAGCAACTCGTCGCAACCCTGGGACTTCCTCATGCCCGTGTTGCAGACCACGAACCCTAATCACGGACAATCCGAAACAGGATGTTACACGGGCCAGTAAACCCGAGGGATTTCTTTAAATATAGCACACCAAGGTCATATGACCTGGATGTGTTGGTTGGAAGCCCGTTACATGGATTTCAAAGAAATCCATGAGCTTTATTTGTAGGAAAAATATAATTAGATGGTATGTATATATTTATGTTTATAGTTTACTTGAATAATATGCATTATTGTATGTACTCAAGTTAGTAAAAACGCTTGGCTGCCAAAAGATTCCCTTGGACTTGGATTTGAACTTATGACATTGGGACTGATTGTTAACTACTTTGACTGGTGTAAGTGGTTTGAAACATTTATCCAATCTGGGTAAATTTTAAGGAATTTTTAGAAAAGATTTTTTTTTAGAAAAAGATTGTTGTTAATCAACAAATAGCTGGAGTCGGTCATTGTCATATTTTGTGAAATAAAGACGGTTGAGCATATTTTTCATCACATGTGTTTTCACGAGAGTAAGACCACAATTAGTTCCATGTGTTGACTCAATTCTAGTAAGAGTGAACAAGTGTTGTGAATTTGGATTCTGTTACATTAGGGAGTGGCCAAAAGTTTTGTTTTTACTGTTATATAATATTGTGAGACTAATGCCAAGTTAACTCAAGGCACAACAAGTACATTCTCAACTATGCTACAAAAATGAGGTTAATTGGGTTGGATATTTTTCATGTTTGTTTTGGTTATTGCGTTATGTTTCAAAAGTTTGGATTTTGATTTTCCTTTGTTCTGCGTTCTTTTATTCTCATCAGTCTAAACTTTTCTTGTTCTTTCTTGAGGACAAGAAAGGGTTCAAGCTTGGGGAGATTTGTTAGGTGCATAAATTGCACCTTTTCATAGGTTAATTTCATGTTTATTTATAGCATTGCATTGCATTTTTAATGTAACTTTCATGCATTTTGCATTGAGGGACATTATCGAGGATCTATCGATATTTCACCATTTTCTGTGGATGTTTCAGGGTAATTTGAAGATTAGAGTATGCTTAGGATGTTCGAGGGAAGCTCTCGGTGAAATTTCGGAATTTTCAGAGCTAAGTTGAAGAAATGAAAAAAATCAGAAATTGACTATTTTGTACTGCGTTACACGACCCGCGCTTTGGCAAGGCATACATTACGTGGCTGTGTTTTACATGTATTCAGCACAGGAGGGCCATTACACGGCCGTGTAACGGCAAGGCATGCGTTACATGGGGCGTGTAACGTGATCTGATGGATTTTGAAATTGTAACTTCCAATTTATCTTTGGTGGCTGGCACATTGAGACATAACTTCGACTTGGGACTTGGAGAGGGCGATTTTGGGAGATCATATCACTACTTAGCACTTTGGACACACTTTAATTTGCATTTTATAAGTTGATTTGAAGATCAAATCTAGTTGAATTTTTAGTTTGAGTTAGCCATGTGTGGCTAACTTCTCTATCATTTCTGATTCCAAATTCTTACGTGTTTGTTGTTAGATTGTAATTTGCACTTGATTTTATGTTTATCATCAAGTAATCTTTGATTTGGTCTTAAACATATGTTTGATTGGTTCTCTTTTCACTTGATCAATGAATCAGAGTTCTTATCAATCTAGTTAGTCAAATTGTGAAATTCGTATATGTTTTATGATCTGATGTTAGTAACATGCACTTGATTGGTTGTAAATACATCAAAAAGTAGTGTAATCAAAGATTAGATGTTCATATTCCCGAACTTATGAGGAATGTTGGATATTGTTGGTAATTGTTGCAAAAACTTAATGTCATTTAGTAATTTGATGCAAGAGCCTATTTGAATTAAATTAACTAAATTAAGTTTTATTTAAAGAACATATTTTGAATGAAATGCTTTTGTTAACTTGGATATTAGAGTTTATTAATATCTAAATACCAACCTAGATTGAACATGAATTATAGTCATATTATATCTACAACATAACACATACAATGGAATCAGAATCATAAATGTCTTTTACTTATTGAATTTTAGTATAAAATTTGTTTGTTTATGAGGTTTAATTTGAAGTCATACAAAACCCCCCATTTTAACATTGATTGTATGATGTGTGAGAACATGGCTAAATAAGAAATCCCGTATTCCTGTGGACTGACCCTGTTTACTCTATACTATCTTTAGTGTACGTAGTAGCGGTGACTTGTACTTTATTATTATTATTTTATCCCATTATTTGTTGGTTTGACCACCAAACAGTGTGTGGTACTTTGGGGGGAACTCACTAAGCTTTGACTTATAGTTTCGGTTTATGTTTCAGGTACTTTAGATGACCGTGGGAAAAGCGACGACATGATCATGCACATCCTCTTGGTTTTGATGATACTGATTTGGGACACTCTGATATATATGATTTCTATTTTTGAGAACAATGTTTTGTAAACGTTTGGTTTTGCTTTGGGTTTTGTTTAAAAACAACGATTCCTATTGATTTAAAAATGAAACATTTTATTGTGATTTTTGGGATGTTACAAAAATTGAGTCGACAAAAGTGTCAACTTAAGTCGACATGGGTGTTAGTAGGACTGTATATGGCCGTACCTCAACCAAAGTCTCACAAAGGAATACGACAAAGGTGGTACATCAACACACTGAAAACATTGTTATATAATTTGTTTTAAAAAATTCATTTATCAATTCATAACCGAACTAACATATTTTTTTAACAACTAACATACACCCACTAAATTCTACTCCTAAACTACTTTTTCAGTCCACTACAAGACTTGAACTCTCATAACCCCTTAAGGGAGGGACAATATCAACACCTTGCTACTGTTAGGCCAAACACACTTTCCATCGAACTAAGGGGACATTTGGTTTGTTGGAATTATAAGGAATTATAATCCAATTTCAACACTTTCTTATGTTTGGTTTAAGTTTTGAAAAGAACTAGATTCTTGAATGAGTCAAACTTTTATTCCATTTAGTGAAAATAAATTATATCCCAAATAAATTATCCTTTTTATTTTTAACAATACATATGAAACCCCTCTACAACCACCACAACCGCCACCACCACCTTCGTGATTACCCCACATCATTGCTAAGACCACCACCCATGATTACCGCCTAGTTGTCTTTGTGACTCTTGCATGTATTTGTATGTATGTTTGGGCGGTGCCCATTATATGTGTAAGACGATGCCCATTACATGTTATTAACAGACATGTACCGGGCAGGACCCGATGTATGTATGGTATGTGATATTTTGGTGAACTCACTAACCTTTGCGCTTACAATTTATGTTTATGGTTTTAGGTTCATTTGGTTTGAAGTGGAAGGGCCTGTCATGATCGCACAACATCCACCGGTGTTCCGCATTCTATGATTTTGATCTGTACTCTGATAACTATTTTCTACATTGTCACACTTGATTGGTTTTTGAAATGAATGATTGATGGTTTTGGTTGACTTAAAAATAAAAAAACTTACTTAGTATTTTTGGGACGTTACATCTACCACCACTGCCATTGCCACCACCACCACCCCCTCCTCCACTACCACCAAACTCACCTTCGCCACCACCTCCATCACCACCGTCAGTCATTACCATCTCCACTACAAACCACATCACCGCCCACACTACCACTACCACCACCATCTTCCACCATTGTCACAACCACAACTTACTATTCTTTTTTAATTTATATAATATATGCTTATATATAAGTTATAAAACAAAATAAAATGAAGCAAAAAACAAGGACAATTATGCTATTTTATATTATTTCAATTTTATTTTTTGCCAACTAAACAAATATATAAAATTAGATTCAAATTCTATTTAATGTCAACCAAACAAAACATGGAATTGACTTACAATTCCTTATATATTTCAATTTTTTGATAAATTTCAAATATTTAAAAACATTATACGATCCAAATGCCACCTAAGAAACTTGTTATATGAAATTTATTTTTGAAACTTTTTAAATAATACATTTTCAATTTGAAAATTAATTAGGAGATGGATGCATTGTATTGTATATTTTTTTAATATACCTAAAAAATCCAAAAAAAATAATAATAATAATAACTGCGGATTTGGACATCCAATCGCTATATAAATCTGTCAAAGTCTTTTATCTCTTTCCGGACTCCCAAAAAGCGAGAAACTCAAATCTAGGGTTTTGTACGAACTTCCGCCTTCTTCAGGTACCTCTTTGTGTGCGGGCATCTGGTTTTTCGATATTCTTTAATACTTGCGCGCTTATATGCAAATACTTGAATCCATATAATTTCAAAGGTTTTAGTTTGGTGGATCTGGATCTGTTAACTTCATGTTTTTTCTCCTTACTTTACATTCAGGATATTCTTTTGTTCTTCTTGATTATTATATGTTTCTGTGTTGATATAAAAACAATCTGTATAATCTTTCTAGCCTCTTTGGTGTTTTAGACGACTTGGCTATAAATTACGCTCTCTTCGGGAAAAGCGAACGGATTGTCTTGGACTTCGAAATTGATATTTATTTTCAATTTTTAACAGAATTTGTTTCCTGTAATAAGGATGGTTTCAAACCTTGGAGGTTTACTTGCTTTGATCTATCAAAGCGCTTTCTTTACATTCAACATGCTAATCATACAAATTTTCTACTAGTGTCAATAAAAGAGTCACCGGTTCCTGTACATGCTCTTTAATGTTTCTATTGAGCAATTCATCCCAATAATCTTTAACACTTTTGTAACCTCATTGTCTTTAGCTAGGAGTGATATCCATCATCATTTACGAATTAATCTGACCTGAATCCCACAATGGTTTCATGCATAGTCTTTCTGATGGAAAAGAACATTAAAATATGACAATTTTTTTAACTTGTTATTTTCATATTTGCTAAAATGTTGTGGATGAATAGTCAAATGTCTGAACAAGTAAATTTTTTTCGAATTTTTGGGTACATGGAATGTATTGTATGCTTACTTGGGAACTTGGTGTACATGTTACATTGCCTAAATGTCCACCCATTTGCAATTATAATCAAAATAGTGCTAAGAGGGATTCTGATTTGTTCATTAAGCTATGTTTTATTCTCTTATAAAGATTCAAGGTGGTTGTTTGCTTCTGAAAAAATTGTTTGATGTTATTTTGATTTTTAATAATCTTTATTGTTATGTAGGAAATATGCCTCGTTATGATGATCGCCATGGCAGCACTCGTCTCTATGTTGGCCACCTGGCTTCACGTACAAGATCTCGTGATTTGGAAGACATTTTTAGCAGATATGGAAGGTTAGCATTCAACTATTAACTATTATTAACACTATTTCTGTGATCTGTCTGTTTGATATAGTTATGCATATCCCTTTATGTTCATCATGTTACATAAGCCTCAATGATGTCTATGCACCATTGTACCTTCATATATTCACTTTTGGGTAGTACTAGTAGTTTTGCATAGCCCTTTTCCTTCTTGGACATTCTACTTGAAGGTGTGTACAAAACTAAACCATTGCCATTACTGGCTTAGTTTTGATATATTCAACAGCCCCTCGTTTTAAAAAAGAAAAAAAAAGTGCCATCCATCAAGTAAAAAAATTAACTTGAATGATCTTTATGAAGGTCTATGGTGAGAGGTTGCCCTTGGTGGGGAGATTCTGTAGGGAGACTTTTGGCGAATCTTTCTAAATTGTTTTGCGTGTTTTTTTGATGGAAATGGCAAACAATCTCAAAACTGGTGTTTAGTTCATCTTTGAGGGGCGAAGTAAACGTATCAAAACCCTTTGTGGGTACTTAATGTCATGATGTGATGGCCTTACTATTTCTGGAATCCATTTAACGCAGAATACGCGATGTGGATATGAAGCGCGACTTTGCCTTTGTGGTATGTAATTTTTCTTTCTCTTTTTTTTTAATATTCCACCCCTTATCTTGATATATTTTACCGTTTCCCTCCTCTCTCTCTGTTTATACCCTTATAGGAATTCAGCGATGCAAGAGATGCTGATGATGCAAGATATAGCTTAAATGGTCGTGATGTTGATGGAAGCCGAATAGTGGTGGAGTTTGCTAAAGGGGTAAATCAATAATGAAATTTCCAAAATTTTGATATAATTTTTTTTTCTTGTGACAATTAAAATACATTTTTTTTGGTAATTTAATAGGCTCCACGTGGCGGTGGCGGCGGCGGGCGTGATGGTGGCGGTCGTGATGGTGGTGGCCGTGATGGTGGTTCTCGTGAGTTTCTTGGGAGAGGTCCTCCACCGGGGTCAGGGCGGTGCTTTAATTGTGGGCTTGATGGGCATTGGGCTCGTGACTGTAAAGCTGGTGATTGGAAGAACAAATGCTATCGATGTGGTGAACGTGGTCATATAGAAAGGAATTGTCAGAATAGCCCAAAGAAAGTCAAGTAAGCTATTTTATTAATTATTATTATTATTTGATTAATGAAAAATTTAATTTTGTTTGTTTGTTTGTTATCAAGTGCTGAAAGCAGGCGTGGAAGGAGTTACTCGCGGACCCCATCGCCACCTAGGCGTGGAAGAAGCCGTAGTCGTAGTTTTAGCAGGAGTCGTAGCTACAGGTTACTTTGTCTTTATTGTTAGATGCAAGAAATACCAACATGCTTTCATTTATTTGTGTAATATTTTAATTATTAATTTGTGTTATTTTGATTGAATTATGTATAGCCAATCAAGGTCACCTGTAAAGAGGGAGAGGGAGAGAGAGAGGAGCATGGAACGTGCAGAAAGAAGATCGAGAAGCCCAAGGAGACACAGGGGGGCTTCACCACCACCATCAAAAGGGAGGAAGCGCAGCAGCAGCCCATCGCCTGATGACAGAACCGCCGCCCGATCACCTTCGTCATCACCAAGGCGGCCCAAGAGTAGGAGTCCCATGGAGGATGATGATGGTGTCCCTGTTGAAGAAAATGGACACAGTAGGAGCCCTAGCCCTGCTCCTAGAGGCAATGGTGGGACCGGGACCGGGACACCTGTTGAGGAGGATGATGATGTCAACAATGCTTCACCAGAGGGGAGTGAATCTGGTTAAATCAAAATGGTGAATTTGCCAACTTTTTAAGGATTGAGGAAATATATTCTCAACTATGACTTTCTTGATTTTGGACTAGTATGAATGATGGATGATGATGTTAAACAAAATATAACTGGAGCAACTTGATTTGTTATATTTTCTGTGTTTTTCGTCTTCTTTTTTCTGCTTTAGGGATGTTAAATGATGGACCCAAATATCATCTCTTTAGACTATGATTAATGTCCCAAAAACAATCTAGGTTTAAATGATTCACTTGTTTTAACAAAATTTAAAATCGACTAATCATTTGTAATTATCGGATATAATTATGTTAGTAGATGCAAATAATGATCTCCCTTTTACAAATCAGCAAGCTTCAATCCTTCCCACTGAAATACTTTACATTTGTTAAACAATTTATTTGAAGAATTTAGTATTACATTTTACCGATGTTTTAAAATTCGGTTCGTATCAGCCTGCCTGAACAAGGGAAGGAAACAGTTCAACCAAATGCATGCTTTTAGACTGGAATGAACTTTGGTGCACTTTTCTACACATGAAAATTAGCTTCGGTTTAACACATATTTGATAACTATCCATCATTCGCAATTGTAGAGAGCGAACATGAGACTTTTAAATATGAGATAATCTAGTAACATTTATTTTGATTTCTAATGCTTATATCGACCAACTTTATAGACCCTCAAAATTCTTTATATCAATTCTTTAATACGTTTTTGTCTATAGTTTAAGTAGTGTGGTTTTGCTACTAAAAATGTTAAATATTATAAAGTTTTTTATGCGTTTCAATCTAAAACTATATTTTGGTTTGTTATTACCTTTTATGTTTTCTTTTTGATGTATTTGATAAGTTTTTCTTTAGAGCTTAAATAGTGTGATTTTGTTACTAAAAATGGTAAATATTATGAAGTTTTTTATGTGTTTGTATTCATCTAAAAATATATTTTATTTTGTTATTACATTTTAATTTTTTTTTATGTAATAGGATTGATGTATATATGTATGCAAAAAAACTAAAAAAATTTGGAAACGAGATTGATCCGAGTGTCAAACCGGGAAACAATCATTAAAACACTGCATTTTACAAATTTGTATGATTGACATGGTCACATTCTATGTTTGACAGTTTCCTGTGATGTGATTTTGTATTATGTAATAAAACAATCAAATCTAGTGATTTGTGAATGAGAACGATTGATTCTCTTAAATAAACCATTTCGTTTCAAATTGAGACAATAAATTTACTATTATTTTTGTTAGAGCGTAACCATCATTTCCACATCAACATCAGGGGTCACATCTGTGCATGGATACACCAATGGAGATACGTATGAATTTTTCAAACAACATTTGAAAATGACTTCCATACAAGCCAAATGGCACTACACATGAAGAAACTATATGTCTATCATCTTAGTGAAAGGACTGTTTTGTCATGAGTTTTGTACTTGAAGGACTGAATTCATAATTACGAAAAGATGACACCTTTAGACTTTAGTTTAGCCTTTGGACCATGATTAGTGGAAGGATCACAAGCATTTTATAAGGGCTTCATGTCGAAGGTATTATGGAAAAGTGGAATGAAGCTCATGCATGGACCCCATATCCATATGGATGATGAGATTATGCATAATGCTGCATCATGATGTATGACAAAAGATAAACATAACTGTACCATATACCATGCTTTTGGTATATAAATTTATATTTTAAAATACATACACAAGCCGCTCTTATCTTGTAAAATACATGATGATGCAAAAATAATTGATCTCTATTTTCTGTCATGAAAACATTATCGTTTATTTTTTGTATTTATCTTTATAAAAAACACAATGACTTATGACTGTAGATAATATACTTAACAAACTATAAAAAAAGGCAAAATTGGATGAAACTTTTTTCCAAATATATTATTTTAATGTGAGTTGGTTGGTTTCAAACTAACAAATCAAAGTTCAAACCAAATTCAAACATAAAGCGAGTATTATGTAGTCAATTAAGTTAGTTTTCGGTTTAAGGTTTAGGACTTGAAGACTTTATAACTTATACTCACTCCTTCCCAATATTATTGTCCACAGACAAAAAACAAACATATTAAGAAAAGCATTAGTTACCACTAACTTTATTTAATAAAATGACAGTTTTGTCCTTACTTTGCATTTAATGTTCCATTAAATGCTTAGTTGGTTAAGTAATAATGAGAGAGTATTTTGGTAAAAATGTTATTTATTTTTAGAAGTGGACTATTATTTTGGGATAAACTAAAAAAGGAAAGATGAACTATAATTTTGGAACGGAGGGAATAGTATATTATACTATAAAAATCTTTATTTAGGATTTCTATGAAACTATTGTTTTTGTTTTGTTTTTTTTTTTTGTTCATTTAAAGGTTTTTATTTTCAAAAAAGCCACTGTGAGTTTTATCTGAAACACTCCCAATATAATGATTTTTTTTTTAAAATATGTCAATTAATATAAATGCAAAATCACCTTTTTAGGTCCAAACCAAAAATTAAACGTCCCTAATAATTTATATATTACTATACCCCGTCCTAAACGGATGGTATTAATTTTGACATTTCATAATTAAAAAGATATTTATTGTGATTCATAAAGTTTTTCACATTTATTAGTTGGTGTTGCTGATTTTGCAAAGTTGCATCCCACTGACAAAACGTTTTTCTTGCTTTTACATGCAATGTAACAAAAAAAGGTAACTAAGTTTTTCAAAATAATTATTTGATAATAGTTATTTAGATTGACATTTAATAAAATAAAATTATGTGTAGGGATTAATATTTATGCATAATTTTCCTTTTGATTGAAACCTAAAATTGTGCAAACTCAATTTATATATTATGGTACTACATTTATAAACTTATTTTATGAATCCATTATTGGTTATGAAAACTTTTTTAACAAACAGAAAATTGTACATAATTAAAGAACAAATTGTATAAAAAATAGATTTACAAATCTGAAAATTCTAATGTGCATCGTCTTTTATATATCAAGTCATGATAAAACATAAAATTTATATCCTTATTGTGTGTAAAAAATAAAAAAATTAAAACATTTGATCTTGATAGGTAAATATGTTTCTTTTTTCAAAATAGTTTGATGTATTATTATTATCTCAAATTATTATTAAATTAAATGTTGTAAACTTAAACGTGAAATTATCAAAAAATTAACAAAGTTTAGAAAGAAGATGAAGGTACACCGATAACTCCTGCACCCGTGCGCTCTCAATCCCTACACCGAAAAAAGTACGCTCCTCCCTTCCGCCGTCTCCGCGGCATCGAAACTTTCAAAATTTACAGTTATGAACAAAACCACCCCCTCAACTTTTGGCTCTTTCAATCCACCCCTAATTGCGAGCCAACAAAGCACAAAAAGATGACCACAACCACAAAAGCAGACTCCATTGCCATTTCCTTTTCTCTTTCACTTCCATTCCACCTTCTTCTTTCTTTCTCTATCAACGTTTTTTCTATCTGCAACACCCACCGCTGGCTAGTTCTTCATCAGCGCCATTATCGGTAACTCTCCAACTCTATCACAAGTCGGGTGCATTGCATTTTGTGTGTATAATTGCGTCTGTGACTTTATGGGGTTTGATCAATCTCGTATGTTGAATTATTTATTACATGATTTTGATTTGACTTGTTCATGTTAATTCGCTCTCAATCAGTACTCCTATTTTTGAAATTTGAAAGGGATGGTTGTGGTGATTTCGACTTGTTCATGTTAATTCCCCCTCCACTTTCGGGGGTTTTCAATTGATATCTGAGTTTTTAGGGTTTTAGGGATTTCTTGTTTTTGAGAGAATTAGGGTTTCAGAATATCAGAGAAATGAAGACGACGAGGGTACTTTGGTCCTTTTTTTCCCCACATGAACAGTTTGATATATGTATGTAGAAAAGCTACTGACACATGTTATTCAATCATAAATGAAATCCACGTTTATTGATTCTTTCAGGGTTCTGTTTTTCATGATTATAAAAAGGGTTTTCTGAAGTCAATGTCAGCATGTATTTTTTTTACTATCAGAGTAATTTATAGTTGCCGTTTCTTTTGTGGAATTTAGGGTTTAATGCATTGGAATTTTCAACTTGTGGGCTCTTACTTCTCTACATCTTCTTCATCATTTTGAAACAATCCCATCTGGGTATGTCTGAATGCAATCACACTAGCTTATTTCTAAAAGCTCTTCTTGTGTTCTTCATTTCAATTATCGATAGTTTGACCATTTTGCTAATCAATTTCTATATAATTTCAGGTAGTTTTGTGATTAGTAAAAATTTACAAGGGATAGAAAGATGAAAAAGCTCTTCTTTTTCAAGTCGTCCACATCTAACAATCAAGCACCATCTCAATCCAAAGAAAATTCATTTGGAGATGGAGTTCAAGATACCCATAAATCAAGATCTAAAAAGGCTGCATTTGAAGATCAAAATCAAATTCAAACTAGTCCACATCTTAGAAGGAGTCGCTCATTTTCTTCAGGAACTTTTGTTGATAGTGTGATGCTCAGAACTCAAAGTGACTCTGCTTGTAGCAGCAGCAGTAATGTCTCTCACAAGCAATCTGCTCCTCGTTCTTCACGGTTAGCCATTCTTTGTAAATATATACCTTTTTTTAAAAAAAAAAAAAAATTGTGATGGTTTTTGATTTTGTATTGTTATTTTTGGTTGTTTCAGTCGAGCTGTTACCCCCGAGAGGCATTCAAGGGCAAAATGGTTTGAAGAAAATACCGGAGTCGATAATGTTTCATTAGAAAGCTCATCTTATTGCTCAACAAATGCATCAAACAAGATTCTTGATCGATACATTGATGGTGAACAACATCAAGAAAAGATCAGCAGAAACAACCATTCCAACATTAAAGGTCATCATTCTCAAAATGGTGGTGGAAAAAGACCACCAAGATTCCAATACGCAGCACCATCATCACCACCACCACCTACTGCTACCGAAGGTGGTGGTTTGACACAGAAACCGAGGTCACATTCCTTCAGAGACCCTAACAGAGAATCCAAACTCTACATGTCCACTAGAGATTGGGTTGAAAATGGGGTTGTTCATGGATCCCCAAGAAAACTAGCAAAACAAGTGATCGAAAGGCTTTCTCAGTCTCGTGTTTTGCCAAGGGTTGACTCGAAAGAATTCGAACATGACATTCCAATCACATTAGAAGATATCTATGGTGGGTCCCACAATCGTTTGTCTCCAGATGGGCTTGATGATGATGATGATGATGATTGCAGTAGGGTTTTGGAGTATGAGGAATCAGAAGAAGCTGATGAGGTCTCTTTACTAAGGGCAGAATTGCATTCCCGGACTCGGAAACTGGAAAAAGAGAAGAACGAGTTGCAGGCGGCATTGGAAAAGGAATTGGATAGGCGGTCAACCGAATGGTCAATGAAGCTTGAAAAATACCAAATGGAAGAGCATAGGTTGAGAGAGAGGGTAAGGGAGCTTGCTGAACAAAACGTGTCTCTTCAAAGGGAAGTATCATTGTATGGTGAAAGGGAGTTAGATAGTCAAAGTAGGGTTGAGCATTCAGGTCAACAAGTCAAGGATTTGACTTTAAGGATGGAGGAAGTAGCTGAGGAGAATCAAAATCTACATCAAAATCTTTCTGAGTTACAAGATAAATACAGAGCAGCTGAAGAGGATAGGGATTGTTTCAAAAGAAACTACATTGAGAAAGATAAAGAGTGCAAGGAGTTGCATAGGGCTGTTACAAGACTTCTCAGAACTTGCAATGAACAAGAGAAAACAATTGAAGGGTTGCGTGAAGGAGTTAGTAAAGAAGTGAGGAAAAATGGTTCATTGGAGAATAGTAACTTTGACCATGAACTGCGGTCAAAGTTGCAGATGGAGCAGTTGAGGTTAACCGGGGTTGAACAGGCTTTGAGAAAGGAGGTGGAATCTTATAGGGTTGAGGTTGATTCTCTTAGGCATGAAAATATAAACCTTTTACACCGTTTAAAAGGGAGCTCAAAGGAAAATGGCTTTTCGGCCTTGAAGCTTGATCAGGAACTATGGAGCCGTGTCCATTGCTTGCAAAATCAAGGAATGTGTTTGATTAAAGATAGTGTGGTTTTATGTTCAAAGCTATTGGAAAATATCAAAGCAAGAGCATGTCATTCCTCTCTGGAAACCAATGAAGCGTTACAGAATGGGTTAGATAGTCAATTGATCATGGAAGCTGATATGAAACTTCAAGGTTTTAAAAGGGGAGCTGAAAGCTTAACAAGGAGTTTGCAGACTGTGTCTGATGTGGTACGTGAGAAGTCCAAGTCCTCCACAGGAACTTCAGACAGCGAATCTCAGGTAAATAATCCAACTTTTAAGCTTTATTAATGTAAATCGTAGTTTAATGTAGAGTTATTATATATTTTATTTAATAGATTGTGCAGGATGTTGTAAAGTCTGATTTGAAAGCAGAGGCTTTGATAACAAGTTTACTGAGGGAAAAACTGTACGTGAAAGAGGTAGATGTAGAGCGGTTGGAGGCTGAGCTGGCAACTGCTGTCAGAGGAAACGATATTCTGAGATGTGAAGTTGAAAATGCAATGGATACGCTTTCTTGTATAACTCACAAGATGAAAGAGCTTGAGATGCAGGTAGGCAATTCTGGAAAACAAACGAACCCTAATTTTAGAAAACAAAACTAACTTGTGTTAACAAACAGGTGATGAAAAAGGATGAGGGGATTTATCGACTGCAAAACAATCTGCAGGATTGCAAAAAGGAACTGTCGATTGTGAATGGGATCTTACCGAAAGTTTCAGAGGAACGGGATATGATGTGGGAGGAGGTGCAGAGGTACAGCGAGAATAACATGCTTTTGAGTTCGGAGGTTGGGATGTTGAAGAAGAAGGTGGAAGCGCTTGATGAGGATGTGTTGATGAAAGAAGGTCAGATTACGATTCTGAAAGATGCACTTGGGAAGCCCTTTGATCTTCTTTCCAGTCCTGTTCCTAGTGCTAGTGGAGGAGGATTCTTGTTATAATAGTTTCATACGCCAATAATTTTGTGTGGATTTTTTTTTTCTTTCTTAAAAAAGAGTTTGGGATTTTGGTTTCTTTGTAAGTAAACTGGTAAATGATATGATAGTTTGTGAACAAATCAACAAAAGGCTTGCGGACATTTTTTACCGGTAAGTGGCTTAAAACTCGGTTACCGTTCTGCTGGAAACTAACTTAACTACCTTTGGTTTGGTTTGGTTGTGGATTTATTTTTATTTTTTTAAAAGTTTTTAGAGGTCTGAAAAAAGTGAAAGGTTAGAAAACACGTTTGATTCAATATTTTTTTCAAGATATTTCTAAAAAATAAATTTTCCAATTATACAATTTATATATAAAAAACCCTACACTCACCTTCACACCCATACTTCCTCTTGGCCGTCATCCAAACTTACACTCCCCACTGGAGGTGAGCATTTTGACTTACACTCCCCACTAGAGATGAGCATTTGGACTTGTGGACCGGACCATGACCGGTGAACCGAACCGTTTTTTTGGACCCCGGGCTGGTTCTCGGTTCTATGATTTGAGCAAAACCGGTCCGGTCGATTCCGGGCAAAAACCGGTTTTGGACCGACTTATTTTTAAAAAAAAATTGTATCATGTGATATTCTTTAAAAAAACATATCTTATTCGTTTTAAGTCGGATTAACATGCGGTTTTTTCCAACGTCCAATTTAGAACTTGTAGATAATTTTAGACTATAATTTTGTTGTTTTTGATGTTATTTTCAACGAGTTACAATCGTTCAAAGATGAGATATCTCATTCGTTTTAATTCGGATTGACATGTGTTTTTTTTCCAACGTGTACTTTAGAGTTTATAGATGATTTTAGACTACAATTTTGTTGTTTTTGGTGTTATATTCTATGAGTTACAATCATTCAAAGATGAGATATCAATGCTGAAATATTTCAACTTTTCAGCGATAAATTTAAATTTTGTATTCTGTGAAATTCTTTAAAAATGCATATCTCATTCGTTTTAAGTCGGATTGATATGAAGCTTTTTCCAACATATAATTTAGAGTTTGTAGATTAATTTAGACTATAATTTTGCTGTTTTTAGTGTTATATTCAATAAGTTACAATCCTTCAAAGTTGAGATATCAAAGCTATAATATTTCAGTTTTTCAATTATTATTTTTTATTAAAAACGAACAACATTTTCATTTTGTGTTTATGTAGAGATTGCACAATCCTTAACCATGTTAGATTTAGATGACAATGATATGGGAAGAGGACAATGAAAGATTAGATTGTGACGTTTGTTAGTTTGATTGATTTTAAATTTTAAACTATGATTTTTGGTGTTATGGTAATTACTTTTGTATGTTTGTGTTAAGATTGTCAAGTTTTGTTGGTGAACTTGATTTATATGTTAGGTGTTTTTATTTGGAAAATTAATTTTGCAAGTTATAATATTATAGATAAAGTTAGATTAGTTATGCATGAAATATGACAAAGTCATTAACTTATCTGATTCAAAGTTCAAACAAATGGTATAAACAATCAAAGTTTGATCGGTCCAACAGGTACAAGAAACGGAAACGTATTCATTTTTATGAGTTGTATCGTATAAAACCCAACAACATATTCGTTTTAACGAATTGTATCAAACCTAAAAACGCGTTTTAACTACTTGTACTGTATGCACATAAAGTTGTACCGGTCCAACCGTATCCAAGAACCGGAAAAACCGGACCTGGACCTGGACCCGGTAAGACTCATCCGGTCCGGTCCACAATATTCTCCGAAACCGGTCCGGTTCGGTCCGGTCCGATCCAAATGCTCACCCCTACTCCCCAACCATCAACTGTTTAATTTTTACGACACAATTAAACTGAAAGTTGAAGAGTAAACTAATGAAAAATGTTACTTACAGTAAAATGTAATCATTTCTGTAACTTTACTATTACATGGAGATCATTTCTTGAGATTATACAGGGGCATTTATGAAATTATGCAAATTATTAACACATGGATCATTTCTTAATTTTTGCATTCCCTTACAAGCAATGCACAACATTTGCTAAATTTTGTGTAGGTAATATGTTAAATATTGTATTATTTGAAATAACTAGAAATGGAAAATGAAACTGATAGAATATACACATCAAACACTTTTTTCTAATTTTTTAAAATGAAAAGTAAAAGTTGAATCAGTTTTAACCAAACACATTTTCTAAATTTTCTAGTAAAAATGAAAATTCCACTATGGTTTTTCTGAAAACAAATTTTCACAACTAAACACACCCTTAATGTGTTTTTATTTGTTATGTATATGCATCTTGATAGGTCCTCAAGGACTACTCAGGGTTTTAAGGCATACATTATAAATAATTGGTGAACAAAACTTAAAACAATGATTGTTATATATGCATAATGGATATAAGTAGTCGTATATGTATATGGACATATAACCAACCAGATAACAAGTTGGTCAATCTTAAAAATCAGATTTTACCAAATCCCCTCATTACATGTTATTTCTTGAACAAATTATTCTTCCTTTCATATAAAAAGTAACATTAATTTTTTTTTTGAGTTCCTGCAATGTTTCTGGTGCAATCAATCTGCAGCAAGCTCCTGTCTTCTTCTGTGGTTTGATCTTTAACCTTGTTTGGGAGACTGCATGATTTAAGAAAAACAACCACATGTTTGACATAATTTATTACACATTTCAGGTGTAAATTAAATCTATGACAACAGAAAATTAAGACACTAGACTGTTAATTGGGTACCCGTACCAAAAAACGTTTCTTGTAGCTCTCTACAAGTTCCTTTGGATCACGTCTTGTTTGGTTGAAATCCTCATTTTTGTTCATTTCCTGCAACACAAACACAAACACAAAAGCATTAGACATTTGGACTAGATAGATGGTACAACAAATCTTGCATACAGTACAAATTCTTTAAAGAGTGAGTAGTGAATAGTACCTCAATCCATGCTGCAAGTTTTGGCCTACCCACCTTAATATCATAATTTTTCACATCTAGCAGATATGGCTGAAATCTTTCGATAAATGGAGCATAAGCTATATCCACCTGTACATTAATTATTCAAGAATCTCAGCATCAATTATCAAAACTCAAAAAATTGGTAGAAATTATGTTACTACTTACCAGGCTCAACTGACCTAGAAAGAATGGTCCATCATCAAACTTGGAAAGAGCATTCTCAATATAATCAAAACCAGCAGCTGTTGCAATTATATATATATATATATATATTTAGTTTTAAATTTTCAAAACTGGTCTATAATTTCAAAAGGAAATAGTAATGCATGATATACCAGCTTCATCAACCCCATCTCCCTTGAAAGAGGTGGTCACAGATTTATTGAATGTATCAGTGTATGATAGCAACTCATCTCCAAATTCTTTTTTAAGAGGATCCTATATTGTAGTTTTGTAATTATAAGTGACTGAATCAACTTATTCTTTTAAAGATTAGGGCAATTAATTTCAATTATGGATGAAATCTTACATCAGGATAGAGTGAAGGTCCTTCGAAATTGGTGTTGATATATTTAATGAGATCAAGACTCTCTCCCTTTACTTCATTCTTGTGTTCTAAAGCAGGCACCTTTTAACATAACAACACACCACAACTTAAATTTCATGAAACTTTGCTTTGTGTGTTTGTACTCTGTGCATTGTTGCTTATATCCAATCAAAAAAACTAAAAAAAACACCTTGTTTGGTGGGTAAACTTTCTCCTTGTACCAATCTGGTCTGTTATGTAGATCAATAGGAACTAATTTAATCTTTTCCTGCAATCCCTGTTCATAATTTAACAGCAAAGGGTAAATATGATTTAATAATCAAAAGGATTTTTAAGTAATAGTGATTGATAGAGAGAGGGAGAGCCTTGCAATTCCGGGTAATCCACACGCGTTGGGCATACGGGCAAGTGTAAGATACATACAGCCTAAGCAAGAGAATTCAGTGAATTTATCTTTAGAGAACGAATCTAATTTCAGATAAGTAAAAATCAAAAATGCATATGGGAACTACAGTTCCATTTTCAGAATTGGAATTTGGAATCAAAGCAAATTTAGTTTGGATTTTGATGAAAAGGAACTCCGATTCCAACTCCAATATGTGAATTCCGTTTAGACGATCTAGGCCAGGTTCATTTAGGCATTTTAACAAGCAGTTGGTGATTCATAAGTTTACCTAGTTGTTCCATCAAAGACTGGAGGTGGTTCTGAAGTAGAATCAAGAGCAGGCGGAAGATCGTCTCGCACACTTCCAACAACAGCAAAGAGAACCAAATCAGATATTAGAATTTAGAAACAGAGAATCTAGAATTCAGCTTTTGAAACAAATTTGAAATTTCTTTAAATCTTTTATAAGCTTCTTTACGGGTTTCTCGATTATAAAAAAAAAGAGGTGAGATCATCATATATATTACCTAGTAGACATTGTTGTCGCTAGAACCAAGAGGTTGTTGTGAAGCTTTTGCCGATGAAATGTTAAAGGCATTGGGGAGAGAGAGATGTTATTACGACCATGAAGAATGGAAACAGAGGCGACATTCCGTGGTGGTGGGGAGTGAGAAAGAGAGTGAAAGAGATGATAATAGCAGCTTAGATTCAACGCAGCCATTTTAATGATTTGATGATCAAGTAGTAATAACTGTATCTGATTTTGATGCACAACTCTACCTTCACCTTCGTTTGTGAACTTGAATCAACCACGTTGATCTCCGTACTTAACCTTCATTATTCGTTCCTTTTTTTTTTTAAAAAAAAAATGATGTATTTGACAATTTGTTCTGGTAGTCTACTACAAAATTCATATAGAACTTTTTTTTTTATATATAATGATTTTTATAAAAATCAAATAAACTTTAAAAAATTTAGTCAATAAGTGTACCTATTCAAAAATTATATAATGTTGAACAGAAGACCTCTTTGTGTCAACTTGGATTTATCTAGAGTTAAATGTCTGCAAAAAAAAATAATAAAAAAAAAAAGATTGCTTTTGTTATTAACCATCACTTCATTAGACTTATCAATTTCCTTTAACATAATTTTTAATCAGGGGCTTCAGTTGGGGGTCGTCAAGGAGTCAATGAGGTAACCTATTGTCCACATCCTTATATCTTTACCAAATGATTGATCACCTTTCGGGACAAACATTCGGGACAAACATTCTAAACGACAATACTCATGACAATGTATTTTTATTTTTTATAATAACAAAATATCTAAAATATTTACGTAACAATAATAATTGTTCAAAAGTCTCTCTATTGAGATATTTTTATTTTTGTTGGCGGGACATGTCAACTTAACCAAACTACCAAAGTATAACAATTGGTTCTTAAGTCCTATCTTGAGGTTTCGGAGTGTAAACATATAAGTATTTTAGGTCTATGATGACAAAAGTATCTCTACTTAGCTATACTATTACTCTTTTGTGATGAGCTCTTTACTAAGACCAACTCCAATCACAAAACACTAAAATGATGTCTTTGTAACACTAAAAATGCAGTTTTCACTCCAACCATACATTAAAATTTTACATTAATAATAATATATAGAATAAAATAATTAGACAAAACTTCAAAAATGGTCTCTGTGGTTTCCAAAAATATTAAGTTTAGTCCCTAAGTTCAAAAAACTTCACAGATGACCGCCTGTGGTTTCAAAACTTTTAACAAATGGTCCTTCCGCCTAACTCCGTCAGCTTTCTACCGTTAAGTGAGGGACATTTTCGTCATTTCAATACACAGGGACCATTTATAAGGTTTTCTCTATATAAAAAAAAAAAGAAAAAAAAATATAATTATTTAATTAAAAGGTCTCTCTCATTTGCCATCACTTACTCTGATCATCGATCAAATGGATTCAACTTCATAGCCACCTTCATACGCATCTCATTTGACCTCTTCATGTCAACACTAGAAACCACCATTTTTGTCATTCCTTATTACGCCATTTCCAACCTCTCAATCCTTCCTTACATGACCAAACACATCCTCGCCTGCACATCTAGCTCGAAAAGTTAACACTCCAAGATCTGTTCAAAAAACCAATAACAAGCTTTTTCACTAACCTTGATTCAACATTAAAAAGTTTCAATCGCGAAGAACGATAACAAACATCATGTTCTTGAAGTAAAAAAAAACCTGTCGATTACTCACCCGAATTTGTTTCTTCAAGGACCTATCATTCATGGTGTTGCAGGTTTCTGAGCTCATCCAGATTCATGTCGCTTTCCATTGGATTAAGCTCAATGATTCAGGGGATTCTCAAAGATTTTCAAGATTTGGGTTTAGTGTTAATTAAACACAGTGATGCAGAACCACATAGACGAGGTCAAGGGTTCGATGGTCATGAGATGGGATCAAACCACAAATCAAATTACACGGAAGATGAGGTGGTCCAGTGAATCAAAACCACAAGGATCCATTCTTTCTTGGGGGCGGCGACGGCTCACATAGACCGCCGTGAGGATCGACAACGTCGATCTCTATTTCTATCCCTAATATATGCTTGTTTTAATCAGACACTTGGTCCAGAGATTACAACAACCTTTATCCAAATAGATTTCCTTTATCTCCAGTTTTAGATCTGGGTTGTTTTTACAGGTTTGAAAACCCATTAGAGATTCCGACGAGGCATTCTTGGGTTTTAAATCTGGTGGCTGATTCCGACAAGTCATTCCTGGGTTTCTTCGGCTCTGATGATGTGTGCGTATAAGTTGTGTGTGTGTGTGTGTGTTTATTACTTGCTTTTCTTTCCAGTCACCTCCGGTTTTCTCAATTGATTCTACGGAGAGGATTTGATGAAAACAAGTCGACAGTTTGTGTATTTGTATGAGATAGAGAGAGCTTCATCGGGAGGTTATCATCGGAATTGGATTGGTATTGGTGAGGAAAGTGATTGCAGTGGAGGCAGAAGGAACATGTCCAAATTTTGGTGGAGAATTCGACGATGGAAAAAGGGTTGAGTATGAATCGGAAATTATAGTTGTGGAGAAGGAGTAAGGGAGGAGAGGGTGATGTTGGGTAAGGGTTTGATCGGAGTGTAGATGGTCGGAAATTGGGATGACGATCTTGGGTTTCCAAATCCAAGAACTGTTTCATATTGGGTTAAATTGAGAAAGAGAGAGCGGGTGGGGCCCTTTAATTAAATAATTATATATTTTTTTTTATATAGAGAAAACCTCATAAATGGTGTATTGAAATTACGAAAATGCTCCTCACTTAACGGTAGAAAGCTGACGGAGTTAGGCGGAAGGACCATTTGTTAAAAGTTTTGAAACCACAGACGGTCATCTATGAGGTTTTTTGAACTTAGGGACTAAACTTGATATTTTTGGAAACCACATAGACCATTTTTGAAGTTTTGTCAAATAATTATTATAATGGTGTTAAAAATAGTATATATAATAAAATAATAGAGTTAAATTGAAAAAGTAGCCACCCCAAATTTAGAGGCCACCAAGAGGCTTCACAAAAATGGTGATGATTTTGAAGGTCCATTGAAATGGTTTTTAGAGGCTTTGCATCATTTTAATGGTCCATTGGAGTTGCTCTAACCAGTTAGTTCCGATCCAAATAGATATCAATACAATTTTTATTTGTTATATGATACTCTTTGAGACAATGATGTTGTGGTTTAGTGAGAATTGCTAAAACCAACTTATTTGAAGTTTTAGACAGGAATACATGGACATTAATGATGTAAAGCTTCTTTTACTTTTAATGAATATTTTATTTTTTGATTAATCTGTTTATTTTTTAATCACATACATAAACACCAAGATCATCTATACAAATCAAATCAAAACTTCAATCAAAATCAGATCCTCAAACTTTTAATCTAAGAAACATTTATCAACAACAGTACTCAAGTTCCATAGTAATCGGATAATAATAAGGTACTATGTAAACATCTACCTCACGATAGAGAAACTGATTCCATAGATAAACTTCTAACATAAAAACGAGAGAAAAAAAAAAACACAAACCCACACTTGGGATGATTTCATGCATAGTGAACGTTAATCCACAATGAAGAAATAAACAATGGTTTTGAGTATATTATATAGATACAAACAATAATTTAGAAAATAAATAAAAACAATGTTTAGCACGTAAATACCGAACGTGTACACAAATAGTGAAAACATATACTATCAATAATACTAATACAAAAGGTTAAAACACACAACACCATTTGAAAGTAAAAAAAAAAATGCTAAAACGGCAAAAAGAGAGCCACAAACACTAATAATGGGAACGAAGCTAGTACCTAAACTACTCATATATACCAACACAACTTTAAATTCTAAGCCTCTAAATAATCGTATAGGACATTTTCCTGGTAATGGTCAACTCCGCCCATGTTTCCATTTTCTTCTTATTCTCTCTCTTAATCGATCAACAACACATATCCATACAACAACACTGACCTTTGAATCACCCTATAGAAATACTCCTTCTAGTTTCACATCCTCATCACAAATAACTCCTGTGATTGCTCACCATCGTAACAATCTCATATTTATACGGTGGTTAACGTACATGAAGAAAATATTCAAAGCTCACACTGGGGTCTACAACTTTCTCACCAATACATAATTCTACTCCACCATTTACCTCCGTGCTGAAATTGCATCATACATACCCATTTTCATCAACTCATTACTAGTTTTTGATCATCGACACCTCTCCCTAAATCTCAAGAGAAATCTTGTCCATAATCAAAGCGAAAATTCGAAGACAAAATTTTGGAAGAAAAAGAAAGAGACCGAAATATAAGTTTAATCACTTTCTAAACAAGAAACACAACATATGACAAATCCAACATATCTCCATTCAGTTTGATATTAAATTAACATTAATCTACATATGACCATCATTAGTATTATTTATCAATCAACCTCAGAATATGCAAAAAAAAAATACCTGATATTCTTAAAGTAACCAGTTTACAATGCACGTTTATAAGACCCTGGCATAAATTTACCTCGGGTCAGGTCAACTAATTTGATAAATAAGCATCCGAAACATATAAAGAAAAAAAATGACAAGATATATTTGGTGATGCAAGTTAACCTGCATACATGAAGGGTTTTGAAAGAAACAAGGTAGTATTAAGTTGTTGCATGTTGCTACATCATCATCAATACTTTCCATATCTTCTTCATATACACAACCAATGACCATACAGCTAGCCCTGCTGATACATAAAGGAAACCAACACCTGCTGTACCCAGAAACCCTACTTCTGTAAAACTGCATATTTTCAGATAAAAACTTTAAAACATGACACAAGCAAGATTACTGTATTTCCAAAAAAGTAATTGTTACGAATATTCAAATTTAAAAGAGACTAATGAATAATAAATAACCTGCTGTCTCTAATTACAAGAAGAATGGTTAATGAAGTCATTTGAGTAGCTGTTTTCCACTTTCCAAGATTATTTACAGCAACAGCCTGAAAATGATGCATTATTTAAAAAAAAAATGAAAGAAAAATATAAAGTATTGACTGCTTTTCACAGAAATAGAATAGAACCTGTGAAAGTTTACTCCCTTGAGAAGCAGCCCACTCTCTAACTGCAGACATTGTTATCTGGAATACACCAAGCATTGTTGATCAGATTCTTAGAAGAATCTAAAAAGTATCATCAAAGCTTAGAAGCTAATGAAAAAAAAATATCACTGTCATCTTTATGAACAATGTGCTAATATCAGGAATTTACCTCTCTGCCAATGATTGCAATTGATGGTACAGTCAATAGCCATGGCAGTTGCCCAAAAATAGCAGCCTCTGGAGGTCTTGTACATAGCAAGACTAATGTAGCAGCAACCATAAGCTGTGACCATGAATGATCAAACAATTTTTACTATATATAAAAGATAGAAGATTCATTGTTAATCTAATTCTTGAAACTGGAAAGATAAAAAAAAAAAAAAAAAGGCATACCTTATCAGCCACCGGATCTAAAAATGCGCCAAAAGCAGTACCTAAGTTCATCTGCAATCACAAACAAAACCAAGATTCATTGATTTGTGTAATGAGAAGATACAAGTTTATAAACATATCAATGCATACCCTTCTTGCTAGATACCCATCAAGCCAATCTGTAATTGCTGCAGCAATGAAAATACCAGTGGTGGCAGTTGTTCCTAATCGACTGTTCATATGAAAAGCTAATCAAACAGAAAAAATGATATGTTAGTCTTGTAAAATGGTTTACCAGGATCTTTTATAACTAAATGCTACATCATAGATTCATATCCAATATGGATCCTGACCCTGATTGAAACTAAACTAACAAATTGTTGTGTACAAGGTACAGACTACAGAGATTATGATTCTTTTTCTTGCAGGAAGTATGATAAGGACAATAACCTATGGTCTAATGGAAACAATAAGACATAAACCAGCATCATGCTTCAACAAAACTCACAGGATCACCACAAACCAAAATTTTAGAAATGAATCAATCTAATGAGCGTAAATCCTCTGTAGAAACCAAAGAGATTTTCACCAAATTTGTTTATATTCATAAGATTTTCCTTTTCCATCAAAATATCTAACTGCACATCTGCTGAACAGCTTTCAGATGTCAACGATTCAGAGAATTCATAGTATTTGTCATTTTTGATGCTTGCTAAAATCAATCAGATTTAAACGGAAAGAAGGGGACGTACTGCTGATCAAAAGAGGAACGGCCGCGACGCGAGCGATTGTTAAGATCGTAGGCAATGTTAACAATTTAGAGGACGAATTTTGTTGAGACGGAGGAGGTTTTAGGTGCCGGCGGTCGTCCGACGGCAATGCAGGCATGACAGAGGAGCTGTGGTCAGCTTCCGTTGTCCTTTTGTCATCTCTGTTATCACTGCTTGCCGATTCCATATTCACTTTTCCACCAACAAACACTTTTCCTCCTTTATTCCCGGAACAATATCTGAAATTTTTCGGACTACGAAACCCTAGTCTGTTATAATCGTTGTTATTGATAACGTGAGCGTGCGGTGCAAATTGTGTTGTTATCCTCCACCAGCCCGAGCACATCGCAGGCAGTGTTCTAGAATTCCCGGTGGTAATTGCCCGGCGTAGCCATTTATGGCGGTGGCGTTGGTGGTGGTGGTGGACGGAAATAGAAGAGGTGAGTTTGAGAAGGTTTAGGGGCATGGCGGTCGGCGTAGGGTGTGGGTGAAGGGATTATATGCGCCACCTGGCTTAGGTTAGCAGGAAAGTCGTCCGTGTCTGGGGAGGTCATAGGTTAGCGATGTAAAACATAAGTTTTTTTGGGAATGGGTTGAGCCAAATGCTAATAACGGCTGATACCTCGATAAAAAGCTGGAATCCAAGATAAAAGAATAATTGAAGTTGTCAAAACTGAAGTGAACAGATGCAAGGAAAGGAACGATCATAAGATTATGGGTGTTAGAAAAGAGTTGGAGCAAATCAACATAAAGCTTTTATCTCGTAGAGTGGTGTACTGGTATTAGTTGTGTTGTTTGTTATATATGTAGTTAAGGTATGTCACAATTTATATTGAGCAAGCCAAACAAAAGATATAAATATATAATGTGAACAAGACAAAAGCATTCCTACTTCCATTGCATATGCATCAAAAGTTGTTCTTATCACCAAACATAAACATAAACAAGTGGAATTGTACAAAAGTTGTTTCCTAGATTCATCAAAAGACTACTAATTTGTTTTTCATCCTAAACTTAAACAAAAGTCTACTAGTACAAAAGGTGTGTCCATTTCTATTACATATGCATCAAAGGTTGTCTTCCATCCCTAAATCATTCCAAGTCCACTAGCTTTCCTTGATTGTTTTAACTTCTACCATTTGCTACAACTTTCTTCCTCGGACCAACTTTAGTGATATGTTCATAAGGTTTCTTAGTCATTTGTACAACTATCACTTCTGTTGGCGAATTAAATAAGTCTTGTTGATTTAATGTTGTGCTAACTATTTTTTTTTTTTTCATTTCTAATGTGATATAATAATTATCACTCTAGTAGTGTAACTAGATCCACTCAATTTATGTAATTAGATACATTATTAAAGTGTAGAAGTGAATCTATATTTTACTAATAAACAAACTCCTTTATATTTACATAAAAAATTGAAAATTCGATACGATTTTTTTTTCTACCATAAAAACTGTAATTTATGATGAATTAAGTAAGTTAAAAGAATTTAGGGTCCCTATCATTTTCAGTAAGATATAATTTCTATCATTTAAACAATTTAATTTTAATCAATACACGGTTAATATCTTTTTATTAATCATAATAGTAAAACGCATATAAGGATTTGTTTTTTAATCATAAAGTTAAAAACAATACTAAAATCAAAAACCATAACTAGTTTTATTCGCATGTAAGACATATTAGAGAGCATTGAATTGAATGATATGATTTTAATGAATGTTTATTTTATATGTTAAAAATTATTACAATTATAAATATTAACTTAGTGTAAGATTATTATTATTATTATTTATAGTTAATTTCAATTAAATAATTACATAATTCTAACCAAATAATTTTATTTTAGGCACACGCGTTTATTATAAATTAGGCTGTACATTGTATATATATAAAATTTTTATAGTTAATATATAGGGTAAATTACACGGATGGTCCCTGTGGTTTAGGGTAATCCGCATGTTTGATCCCTAACAACTTTTTTTAACTCGGACCATCTCTATCAATTGATTTTGTTGCATCGTTGGTCCCTGACCGACTTAAAATGACCAATATACCCTTATCTATTATTTTAATTGTTTTATTTATTATTAACTAATTAAAAAGTTGTAAAAGAAAATATTTAATAAATGTGGGTCCCACCCACCCTTCATCTGTCTCATGGCATCGGCCTCTTCATCTTCACCCCCTTTGCACCATTTCTTCATCGTAACCATTGCTTCTCCATCTCCGATTCCGGATGACTACCGTCGGCCATCACCGCCACCATTCCACTACTATCTCTCTATAGTCAACCCAAGTCCCCAACCATCACCGGGAACCCTTATCCACTAAAATTACTTCCTAACCCTAGATCTACCCCTAAACCCAATCATCTCTTTCAACCTGCTTCCACACCCTCTCTGGCATTCAATAACCACCAGAAACAATATGGGTTTGACTATGAAAATTAACAGGTTTTGAAAACAATGCTTTGGTTTTACTAGTCATTAATCTTGATTGCTTTGATTGCTTCATATGAATAATGCTTTAGATTTGTTCCAATCTTGAATGTTCTGATAGGGACAGAGACCATGGTGAAACTTGATGGCGACGAGAGGGGTAAGGGAAGTGAGTTCCATCATATACCCGCAAGCCCATCGATGAATCTGGTTTTCCGTTTCAATGGTGGATTTTGATTTCACAACATCGACCTTCAACCTCAGTGAGCTACTTGGAGCGGTTATCTATATTTTGTAGCTGGAGAAGATGATTGGGCTTCGTAGTGTTCTAGCGATCTTGTCGATTTGTGTTTGATGATTGTGTTTTGTGGGTTCTGTTCCAAACTCCCACCGTCATAGCAAATAAATCAAATAATGGAGCCTTTTTATTTCCTTTACCAAAATTTGATTTTGATTTATATTGTGAGGATTAAATGTCAGATATAATGTTTGTAATGATTTGAGTTTTAGGTTTCAATTTGTATGATTTTATGGTTTGTGGTTTTTACGGCAAGAAAGGGGAGGGGTTATGCAGGTTTCCAGGAGGGGATGGGAGGGAGGAGGAAGAAGATGTGTGTGGTGGTGACCGGTGATGCAGGTGCCGATGATGTTGGTGGTGGGCGATAGTGGAAGAGGTGAGGTGATGTAGGTGGGGTGGGGGTTAAGAATTAAGTGTGGGTTTCATTTTAACTTATTTTATTGTTTAATATATTTTTATTTAACTCATATTTTAAAAAGGTTAAAAAAATTAGTAAGGGTAAATTAGTCTTTTTAGAACGGACAGGGACCAAACGTGCAATAAAAATATAAAGTAGGGATGCTCCGAGTTAAAAAAAATTGTTAGGGACCAAGCACGCAGATTACCCTAAATCATAGGGACCATCCGTGTAATTTACCCTAATATATACACAAGTATATATTATTAAAAATATCAATAATATTATAAAAGACCTTGCATTTTTTTTTTTTTTTTTTTCTGTTTAAGCTAAACTTTTTTTCCCAAGCACTACAAATATTTGTCTAGTTCCTAAATAATGTTTAGACAGGGAACATCATAAAAACGAAACTAGCATTATAAATTATTATAACGATTATGATAAAAAAAAACTAAACAAATGTAACGTTATTTATTTAGTTATCACATACTGATGCATTTATATCAAAATATCAATATCAATTTGGGGGAATTAGGAGCTTATTTAAAAGCGAAAAGAAGAAGCACAAGGCCTCGAACATTCACACATCGGTCTACGCTTATGAGTGGGATCCATAATTTTGCAAAGACCGCCTTCATATGTATCCGCTTTGCAAGAATCCTTACATTTTCCAAGATCGCAAATCGGTCTGATGTCTTTCATGCGTTTACAAACTGACTCACCTTCTCCCCTCTTGCCACTTTTTTTTGAAACAACAAATATATTAATAAAACGTCTCCCAAACTAGCTAGAAACTAGAAGAGGATGAAACAGAACAATACAACAAGAGAAGTAAGGAGAAAACGAAAACAAAACAAAACAAAAACAAAATAACAGAACAGGACAATGCTACAAATTAACGAAAGGGGAAGTCTGCCATTCTAGCCATGAGCCCACTCCTGAATTTCCCCTACATTTGATCCAGAAATACACCATAGATTTGATAAGCTCCATCCCGGTTGTAGGATTGATAAACATTGCTTTGAATACACGATCGTTACGGTATTTCCATACATTCCACAGTAATCCATAACATATTGTGAGGAACCGATTACGTTTTTTCAAACTACCACCCCATGACTCCGCGTAATTCAATAATTCATTGATCGAGTTATAAGATGCCTGCTGTATTCCGCACCATTCGAACAATTTCTCTCTAATTGTCTGGGCAAACGGACACTCCACCAGAATATGGTTTGCATTCTCCTCCCCGCTAATGCATGCGCTACAATACGTTGAGTTTACAGAAACTCCTTTTGATAATAAAGTGACTGCCGAGGGGATTCTGTCTTGTTTTGCACGCCAGATGAAGCAGTTTACTTTACCTGGCACATCTTTACTCCAGTTAAAAGGCGGAATGATTTGTTGTGGGCCCAATATTTGTTCTATTTTCTTCCTCATGAGACTTACAATGTAGTTACCTCCCAGATCAAATGTATATCGCCATCTGTCATCCCCAACTTCCAGTTGTATAGGGGATAATTCATCATTTAATGCGGCTAGCTCAGAAGAAAGACCAGCTTCTATTGGACATGATTTCCAATGTGCCACAATTCCTCCGTCATCTATTCGCTCAGCCACCGTACATCTCTTCCTGGATTCAAGTTCGTATAGTGTTGGAAATTTGTTTTTTAGATTTTCTGGGCCTAACCATTTATCAATCCAAAATTGTATTTACACCAGATTTGACCTGCAGTTTGAATACATCTCCAATTTCTAGTCCATATTTGAGTAAATCTTTCTTTACCGAGACAATGTTGTTCCATACACCACTGAAATTCCTGTTGGACAAATAATCATGAGGTTTGTTGTGAAGATTGTGTATACCTTTAATGACCATACCCCATAACGATGCTTTTTCCTCCATTAAACGCCACCACCACTTCACAATTAAGCTCATGTTCAGTGCTCGGATGGATCCTACTCCAAGACCTCCTTCCGATTTGGGGGCTACCACTTTGTCCCAAGATACCCAGTGAATTTTCTTCTTATTTTCGTCTCCTCCCCATAAAAATCTTCTCCTTATTCGTTCTAGAGTATCAGTAACTGTCACAGGAGCCATGAATAATGAGAAGAAGTATGTTGGGAGATTGCCAAGCACCGATTTCAGTAATGTTAGCCTTCCGCCAAAGGATGAAGTTTTCGATTTCCAAGCAGACAATTTTGAGTTAAACTTGTCTATGATTGGCTTCCAGTTTTTTGATTGATTCATATTTGCACCGACAGGAACTCCCAAGTAATTGAATGGAAATGATCTTGCTTCACATCCGAGAATATTAGCCCAATTTGCAGTTTCACGTCCCGTAGCACCAATTCCAAATACTTTAGATTTGTGAAAATTGACTTTAAGACCCGATGAGATGTGGAAGCAATTTAAGATTCTGGCAATGTTTTTGAGATTGGGGCGTGTCCATTCACCTACGAATAATGCATCGTCGGCATAGAATAAGTGTGAAATCATAGGCCCATTGTTGGGGGTTTGGATACCTTTAAAAATCCCTTTTTCTCTAGCTACTAACATAGCCGCGTTTAGACCTCCCCTTGCTATGATAAAGAGAAAAGGGGATAATGGGTCTCCTTGTCTAACACCTTTGGATATATCGAAATCATCCGTTGGAGATCCGGTTATTATTACCGAGGCCCTTGATGAGTTGAGACATCCACGGATCCAGGATCGCCATTTACTGCCAAATCCCATATGAGATTGAATAGAATCAAGAAACTCCCAGTTTACTGAGTCAAATGCTTTATCGAAGTCGACTTTGAACATCATAATTGTCTTTTTCACTTTCTTTACCCACGAGTAAAGTTCATTTATCATCAGGGGCCCGTCCAATATATTCCTATCTTGGACGTATGTTGATTGTACATCTCCAATAACACTGCCTATGACAAATTTGAGTCGAATGGCAAGGATCTTTGAAATAATTTTGTACATGCATCCGATAAGACTAATTGGGCGGTAATCTGAGAGGGATAATGGATCTTTGACTTTTGGGGCGAGTATGATGAAAGATTAATTGCAACCCCGAGCGATGGTGCCAAATTTATCAAAATGCAGGACAAAATTCATCACGTCATCTTTGATGTTATCCCAGTAGGTTTTGATGAATTTGAATGTGAATCCATCCGGACCTGGGGCTTTTTCGCTACCACAAGCCCATACTGCCTCTTTTACTTCGGCCAGACTAAATGAAGCTTCCAGTTTTATTGCCTCCATCATGGATAGGGACTTGAAATGAGGGTTGATAAGTTTGGGTCTTAAGACCCAATTTTCTTTGAATTTGTACCGGAAGAAGCGGTAAATTTCCTCCTTGATCTCACGAGAGTCGTAGGTCCATCTTCCGTTCATTGTCAAGCCATAAATCTTGTTTCTCCTATTCTTGTTATTTATCAAACCATGAAAGAACTTGGTGTTTTCGTCTCCTTCCACAGTCCATTTGACCCGTGATTTTTGTTTCAAGTCTAACACCGCCAGTTTTTCTAGTTCTAGTATTTTTTGCAGACCTTGGCTACGACGATCCAACTCATGCTCAATCAAGGGTCTTGATTCTGCCAATTCCTCTAGTTGTGTCACCATGTGTTTGACACTAGAGATCTCCTGTGCTTCTATTTTTTAAGTTTGTCTTTTTCAATTTCTGATCTGATTCTTGAGGAATTTAAGTTTTGCAGCTAAGTGCGCGTCCGGAATACCGTATCCAACAAATCTTTCCAAAGCTTTCTTGACAGTAGAATCGAAACCTTCTTTTAAAAGCCATGAATTGAAGAAACTTAATTGTAAACAGCTAAACATAATATTTGTTGATATATATGTATATATATATATATATATATATATATATATATATATATATATATGAGTAGGATCAAATGAGAACACCAAAAAGGTTGAGAACGCGAGAACAAAGTATATTCATTTGTGATTCCATGCATTCATTTGTGGAGAAATGATAAATTTTTACGCCTTTAATTTCAATTGAAGAGAAAACGCATATTCATGTTGATTGTGCGTAAAAATTTAACATTTCTCCACAAATGAATACATGGTATCACAAATGAATATACT